AAAAAATAATTGTTTAGATTTCCTGCGATTAGTAGAAAAATTATATAACGACAATATGATTATTAACGTAATACATTCCATATGCTGTTTGATTCCGCAATGCAAGAATAAACTTTAATATCAGTAAGCAACTAGCAAAGCTCAAAAAAGGTAAAGATCAAAGAAATACTATTTCGAAAATAGATGAAGTAAACAAATACTTTCTAAATAACATTGAGGAAGCTAGTCCTGCTAAGCACACAATTTTTTACATTGACGGCTCCAAGTTATCCAATAACAACACAGACCTGGCTATTGTGTGCGAAAAGTTAAAAATTGCCTTTAACTGTAAAGTAAATAACTTTTTTACTATATTCGATGCCGAAGCTATGACCATAGTCAGATCCCTTAAAATTATAAAAGATTATAATCAAAAGAGCGCCCTGATTGCGTTGGACTCCCTGAGCGTGCTCTCAGCACTTGAATCTATTGACCTGAAAGGGAAGAAAAATATTTGGATATATTATATCAAGAATTCTCTACTAACCCTCAGCCAGAAAAGTTTCTATATACAATTTATCTGGATCCCGAGTCATATAGGTATCGAAAGCAACGAAAAGGCAGATATTCTTGCTAAGGCGACGGCGGAGGGCCCCACCACTCCTGGAGACCCGGTAGACATTGTCCTGATAGACAACACATTCAAGGAACTAAAAGAAACTGCTACTAAAGTGACTATCCAATCTCTTTTCGAGTCGTCTAGAATTAAAGAACATAGGTACTTTAACAGAACTAGAATCAAGCTGGAAAAACCCTGATTCTTTGAAGTATCTCATTTACCACGCAAAGTTATCTCTTTGATATCTCGTCTCAGATCGCATATAAAAAATTCTAATCATAGAAGAAAAAAAATCAGCCAATCTTAATGTTTTCTAGATCGTTTACACGATTGTACTAAAGATGGTATACCTTATAGAAATATCATACTAATATTTTCAGTATTAAAAATACTGAATAATAAGTAATTATCAATGATTTTTAGTATGATATTTCTATAAGGGTATCCACAGAAATTTTGGAAGAACTAGCTCGCATCAACGAAGACAGTGATGCATCGTTCAAAGAAGAACGTGTGGCTGCTTTGTAAAATTCATTTTCGAAAAAAAGCATTCACATAAATATGTAGACCCAGACATGGAGAAAATTCGAAGACCAAAATCTCTAAGACGTGGGTAACATGATGGATCTAAAATTGTGAAGAACTCGATATTAATACTTTAAAAAGGGCTATTAGTTTAATTAGTGATAAAGTGCTTTGATTACAAACTACGGCAGTGCAAAATGTAAGTGAATTGACTGGTGATCCTTAACAAAGTGAAGTGTTTATGTGTTTGTGGTGCATGTGCGTGTGTGTGGAATATATTATACAATTTAATATTATTTTTCTTTCTTTGCTTATATAAGGTGTAGTAAAAAGAAATCCATTATTTTTCCAATAGATGGCTTTAGTAATGTGTATCTCGCGTTGTATAAGTGCGATCGGTTTACGCTAGATGGCGTTAGAAAGATAAGATTTCGTACTAAAAAAACTTCTCAGATAGTTTTCTGATTGTTTTACTCAGTATTGTTTGAGCGCGCATCAAAGATGGACACCAGCAAAGAGAAAATACGCCATATTTTACAGTTTTTCTTCGATAAAGGCGAAAACGCAAGCCAGACGGCTGAAAATGTGAATAGTGTTTTTGGTTCTGATACTGTAACAGCCAATTACGCGCAATTTTGGTTTCGTCGATTCCGTTCCAGTAATTTTGATGTCAAAGATGCACCACGCTCTGGAAGGCCAATTGTCGAAAATGTCGATAAAATAATGGAAATCGTCGAGTCCGACCGTCATGTAAGCA